AGGTTAGTGGTGAGGCGTACAGCCGCCTCCAGGCTCTGGGGTCTTCCCAGCCAAAGCTGAGCCTTTACCTCCCCGCTGCAGGTGAGTTGGACGAAATGGCCCCGGGCCAGTGTGTCATGTATGTCTGAGCTAAACTGCGGGAAGGGATTTAAGGGTAATTGAGCACTAGGCCAAAGTCCTGGGCCAACTCATTGGGTTCCCTTACTCCTGTACTGAAAGCCATACTAGCCCAGACAGGATCTGCAGCTGGCTTGAAAGCTTCTCGGGTCTGCCCACAGATCTGAGTGCATCCAGCTAGTGGTGCCTGCGCAGGAGATACCGACAGTCCTGCAAGCCCTGCATGAGTCCAGTACTGAGGACATTTGGGCACAGAGAAAGTCTCTTGTAAAGTCCAGGCCCGGTATTTCTGGTGAGGCTGGAGGCAATCTGTAGCGGACTGGTGCAGATCGTGTGAGGTGTGTGGTGCGCAGAAAGGGAAGTGGAGTAATCCCAGGGCCCCCATGGTCTCCACACAGGCTAGACAAGCCCTGGAGAGGATAGCCATGGACATCCTGGGCCCCCTGCCCCCTATACCACATGGGAACAACTATGTCTTGGTAGTAGCTGACTATTTCTCCAAGTGGGCAGGAGTCTATCCTCTCCCCAATCAGGAGGCCCAGACAGTGGCAAAGATTTTTGTTGAGAGATTTGTGTGCTATCTCTCGACACGCTGGTTGACACGCTAACCTCTCTGATTCAAAACCAGATGACATGGGATGAGGTACACCCATTTGTCATGATAGCCTACCATAGCAGTGTGCACTCGCCCACAGGATACACACCATACGTGGTGTTGTCTGGGCAGGAGATTTGTCTGGCTGTTGATGTTGTCTCAGGGACAAACGTATCAAAGAGTTCAACAACCCAGCCCAGCCCAGTCCCCCAGCCCTGTGGGATCTCCCAGGACCAGGCCAGTCCCCTCCAAAGGGGGAAGGGCTTTCAGCCCCCACCTGCGCCAGGCGGGACCTTTGCACTGGGGAATCCAAACAGCTTGTCCAGACCCCAGGGTTGGCCATGGCCACCGAGCGCTGCCCCAGGCTGAGGGGAGCAGGGCACCGTCCTGAGAGTCCCACCAGGTCTGGGGCCCAGGCAGCAAAACCCCGCTCTGGGCAGGGCGCAGTGGTCTGGACCTGGCACTGCTCTGACCTGGACCAGAACCGGGCTGTGCACCGGGCCGAGCTGGGAGAGACGCTGCAGGGCCCCGCGGCAGCTGCAGAGTCTCCAGGCCAGCCCCACATGGCCCTCGGTGTCCCCAGGGTGGGGGGAAGCAGGGTCTCTCGCCAGCGGCATAGGGCCACAGGGCTGCTTCCCAGGCCTGGGACCATCCAGGCCCTTTGTTTGAGTCCCACTCAAATGCTGGGAAAGCGTCATCCTGCGATGTCTGTCTGGTGCAGGGGAATCGGGAGTTGGCAGGATCAAGCCCTGGGAGCCAGGGTCAGCTTGTTCTGCCGCTCCCTATCCTCCACCCACAGGCTGAGCCCCATCCCCTGCCAGGGGTGCCCGCCAGGTCCTTAGAGGCAGTTGAGGGCTGGGGGGAGCTGTTCAGGGCCTCTGCTCTTGACCCCATCTGGGGCACTTTTTCTTGCCCTGTCACCCGCGCTCCCACCCTGGCTTTATATGTTTTGAACCGCTTAATCATAGTTATAATAGATTTCATAGACATCAGGGCTGGAAGGGACCTAGGAAGATCATCAAGTGCAGCCCCCTGCCCAAAGGGCAGGAAGTCAGCTGGGGTCGTAGGATCCCAGCAAGAAAAACATTCAGGTTTCTCTTGAAGGCGTTCAAAGTAGGTGCTTGAACCACCTCCCGTGGTAGGCCATTCCAGACCTTGGGGGCTCGGACAGTAAAGAAATTCTTCCTTATGTCCAGCCTGAAACGGTCTGGCAGGAGTTTATAACTCTTCAACCTTGTCATCCCTTGGGGCGCTCTGGTGAACAAATGTTCCCCCAGGTCCTGATGGTCATCCCTGAGAAACTTATAGGTGGCCTGCAGGTTGCCACTGAGCCTGCGCTTTTCCATGCTAAAGAGCCCCATGGCTCTCAGCCTGTCGTCATACGGACTGTTTTCCTGCCCTCTGATCATGTGCGTGGCTCTCCTCTGGGCTCTCTCAAGCTTCTCCATATCCTTCCTGAATTGTGGGGCCCAAAACTGGACGCAGTACTCCAGCTGTGGCCTCACCAAGGCCGAGTACAACAGGAGAATGACATCCCGGGATTTGCTTGAGAAGCATCTATGGATGCAAGCCAGCGTTTTCTCACTTTCCTAGCTGCAACATCACACTGCAGGCTCATGTTCATCTTGTGGTCAACCATGACCCCCAAGTCCCTTTCTTCCGTAGTGCTAGCCAGTGTAGCACTGCCGAGCCTATAAGCATGCTGCAGGTTTTTCCCCTCAAGGTGGAGAACCTTGCATTTTTCAGTGTTGAGCACCATAGTATCCCCTGTGCCGTGTTCCCCATGGATTTTAACCCAAGGGTGCCGATGTCAGCTTGCAGGGACACGTAGCTTTCCTTGACCTAGAGAGCTACACCCTCTTCCCCTTTTGTCCACTCAAGCCCTCCTGTACATCTATACCTGTGGCCCAGTCATGCGTGGAGTCCCACCAGGTCTCCATTTTCCCTATGACATCATAGTTATTGGTGTTAAGCAGGAGGACAAGTTCCTCCTGTTTATTCCCCAAGTTCCTGGCATTCATGTACAGGCAGGCAAGTATCCCTTTGGAGGACCTTGCCTTGCCCACAGCTCACTCCCGGGCTAGGGCATGTGTGGACTCCCTTAAGTGCCTTGGTCTGCTGGCTTTGCAAGGGCTGTTCAGTGGGCCAGCAGTGATGGTAGTGTCCCCCTGTCCCCCGACGGGCTTAGTTTAAAGCCTGGTGGAGCAGGTCAGTCAGCCTGGCTGAGAAGAGCCTCCTCCCCAGCAGAGAGAGGTGGAGGCCATCCCTTCTCAGCAACTCGCTGCCTCTCTTCCCAAAGAGCGGGCTGTGGTCATGAAAGCCAAAGCCTTCCCGATGACACCAGTGCCGCAGTCTTTGGTTAACTACCTGGATCCTCCTCTCCCTCCTCAGCCCATAGCCTGAAACTGGGAGGATTGAAGAAAACACCTGTGCCCCCAGACCCTTTAGCCCTGCTCCCAAATCCCTGTAGTGCCTCATGACCCAGCTGGGAGTGCTCCGAGCCGTGTCATTGGTGCCCACGTGGATGAGGAGCATGGGATAGTGGTCAATGGGCTGGAGGAGCTCTGGGATCTTCTCTGCCATGTCTCGGATGCGGGCTCTTGGGAAGCAGCAGGCTTCCCAGGACGAGGGGTCGGGGTGGCGGATTGTCCCCTCGATCCCCCTCGGGATGGTCTCCCACGACAAGGACTTTGCGTTTTGTCTTGGGGGGAGCGGGAGCGGGGGCGGTAGCTGCAGTAGTGCCCGTGCTGCCTGCGGGAGCTGGGAGCTTGGCAGGCTCTGCTGGGGCTGCAAGAGGTTTGTACCTGCTGCAAAGGTCCAGCGGGGCAGGGGCCTTGGTGCGGCGGGCCTTGGGGCCCTTGACCACCTTGGTTCAACCCCTGGGCTGGACAGAAGGGAGGTCCCCGAGTCCTCCTTTGTCCGGGAGGGAGACCGTGGTCGACCCTCTGCCTCCCGGGGGAGAAGGGCCTGGTGGTAGGAGTCTGTCTCCTGCTCGCAGTCCCTGATGGCACGCAGTCTCTGGCCGGTGGGTTGGAGCTCCTCCAGGGACCCCAGTAGGGAGCAGACCCCACCAGGGAGGTGGCCATGCTCCTGGCCCCCAGAGCCTGTTCTCTCGCAGCCTCCCCACGCAGCGGCGGCTAACACCTTGTGTGACGGGCTCAGCCCGCGGGCACTGCCCAGAACAAATAGCCCCCCGGCGGGTAAGGCAGGGCCTGGCTCTTGCCCGCTCCCCCCTCTCCATCAGACCCCTTGCACTGGGGTCCCCTTGGACACTGTGTATCAGCACAGTGTATCACACAGTGTCGAAGGGGTCTGGCAGTGCGGGGTCAGGCAGGGCCAGGGCTCACAGCCCCTGTGGCCTAAGCCGAGGTGACAGGCGGGTCTGCTCCCCTATGGACCCACCACGGCCAGGACCAGAGCGGGGACCACGACAAGGCCCCTTTTCCTGTGACGACTCTAAAACTCATGCTAAGCTTGGGCCTACTCACAAAAGTTAAAATACAGAATAATAATGCTAACTGCATATTGCAAGAGGATGCGAGTTCATGGCCAGCCCATCTGAGAAGGAATAATGAAGTATCTCTTCCAGCGTATCTTGCTATATTCAGAATGATTTCAAGCAGACTTCTAGGTGCCTGGTGTGTAACCGCATGAAATGTCTATCCTTGATTAACTAGTATGGGAAATATTTCTTTTGTGACTAACTCGTGTTTATGTGCAGGAAGAGACATACATGTCCAATACATGTCTCCTCCTGATTCACTATGTTTGTCCTGGCGGTTAATCCATTTCTTGACGTGTTTCAAACTGGATCACCTCTTGTTACTGAAGAAGGAAACTCATTCAAATTAGAAATTTCGGATAACCAGTGATGAGCAGGTTTTCCTATCAATACTGCAGGACTCTCTCCTGATTTACACAACTACAAGAATGCCTTGAAGATGCTAAACTAAGGGTATAAAAAGGCAGTAAAACAGCAAACAGGACGTGCTTCCAGAGTGGGACATCTCTTTGACCCCAGTTGCTGATGCGCCCGACTTACTCGAGAAGTTGCAGAGAAATGGACGGCCTCTTCATCGCCTGTTTGGTGAGAAATCATCACCTGATAGCTAATTACTGGACTTTGATTTGGTTTGGGCTCACATAACTTGATTTTAAATACTTGTAGTAAATAAAGCCTTTCTGTCACTCATCGAACGAGGCATCATGTCAATCCCACGGCTAGTCCCGAATCCTAGGTTTTTACTGCTAACATCCTGGAACCACCAGCCTGTCCCATCCCCCACCGCTAACCAGTGCTCCTCTCGATGGGGGTCTGCAGGGCGAGGTGTCCCACGCGGCAGATGTACTCTGCCCCCTTGTCCCGGGATGTCCAGCGGGTGAGTGTGGTCTCCTGCTGGAAGCTCTTCCCGTCCCGTGCCAGGACGGCCGTGCCGGGCTCCACCCTGCACTCAGCCGAGTCCCGCAGGATCACAGCAGTGTCCTCCCCCTTGCCCCTCCGCAGCCAGGTCACGCTCAGCTCCCCCGGGAAATGCCCCGC